TTACTTGAAGATTGTTCACACATCTGCATTTACTCTTAGTGTTCTTCCAACTTGTGCTTTCTCCACCCATTTTCCCTGTCTAGAACACAAACTAACATTTCAAGGTTCAATGCAAGTCCTGTTCCCTTTCAAAGGCTTCTTCACTTGCCTTTCTTCCAATTCAGACAAACAAACTTCATTACTTCTCACTTTGAGCTCTGCTCTGTTTTAATTTCACCTCTCCCACTTCCCTTGTTGTTTTGAGACAGTGCAGTACGTGGTAGGAGCATGGACTCTTCACTCCGACTGTCTGGATTTGAAATTAGACTCTGCCACATACTGTGTGTGATTTTAGGCAGGCTAGTTCATTCTTCCATGCCTCAATCTGCTCATCTGAAAGTGAAGATTGTGATACTCTCAGAGGGTTATTGTGAGGATCAATGGAGTTAATTTACATAAAGAGTTTGGAACAATGCCTGCCACATAATACTTTGTAAGTGTTAGCAATTTCACCTGTTTTCCTTTTCTTCCTATTTTTAATTGTACTAAAGGTTTCACCTGTCTCCTCTGTGAAGACAGGAAGTAGCTGTTTCTTATCTACCATTTAATCTTTAGGACCTAGTGTAGTACTTGATGCATATAAATTAGGTGTTCCCCAGTTGCTTGGAGGATGAATAAATGAAGGGTCAATTAGGAGGCTCCAGCCCAGCTGCCTTCCCTTCTGCAATAATGGAACACACTTATTTGAAATGTTAGCTGTGATTAAATATTAAATAGTGCAGGAAGGATCAAAAAGTCCCATTCATGACTATCATTTATCATAAATGTTTATCTTTTCTTTTCATTGATAGAGTTATATAAGGGCCTTTAAAAAATACAGCTGAGTGATATCATGAGTTTCTGTCAAAACACCTATCTCATTTTCTCAAGGATGACATTTTAAACAGCAATGACAGATGCAATGTTCTCTCACACAAGTATAGAGTAATTCATTAACATACATACAAAAGGGAGAAGTCTACATTCAACCTTTACCATCAAAATCTTTGAGAAATAAAAGAAATTCAAAGCAGCTACAAGTGATTTTAGAAGTCAAACTAGTTTTCATCTAGAATGCCAGGATAATAACAGAAGCCTTTGGTGACTAGACACCTGCTAAATTTGTTTTACGGTATAGTTTTGGTTGGGGAATAAAGAGGTAATTAAATTAGAATCTGCCTGAGTATTTGAAAGGACAGATTATATGACAGCAGCTGAGAGACATTTGTAATCAAATAATTCAAAATATACTTTAGCTAAGTCCAGAAAGTGAATGCCTTTTCTAAGTTGCATAGCTGGTTAAAGACATACTTGATTTAGGAGTATATTTCACAACAGGTAGTTTTTATACACAGGCCACATTTCAGTATGGTTTCATGTTGAGACGATTCATGATAAAGCAGAGTGTTATAGTCTGTGTCTAAAATAAACTCAAAGTGTGTTTTTGGATTACTGATTACCAGGATAAAAGTGAAAAACAAAAGCCATCAATTACCTAGAGGTACCACACTGCAGTGTCTCTGCCATGGACAGGGTAGATTCTGAAAGGCTGTTCATAAGGCTGTTTGTTCTGAAGGTCAAAGTGACACTATTCAATGGACTGCCAACCGACAGGAAGCAAAGGAATTGATACATTTTTATTTTGATGCATAGCTTGTTCTTATCTATGGGAGTTCTTAAGAGTGGGGGTCTAGATCCATTTTTTCTATCAATAAGTAGATCGACTATCTCATCTCGTGTTTAATCTCTTGTCTTACACTGGATTCCTTAGAAGCAGGGCCTGAGGCAAGGATTCAAGTGCATGTAATTTATTGAGAGGATTCTCTTAGGAAAAAGGCAGGGAAGGAAGAAGGAAACAGCAAGTGAAGAAGCTAATTAAGAAGGTGTAGAAGTTGTTGTGTAATTGCAGCCTGATCTCATGCAGAGGTTTGGGGCATGAATGCAAAAAGGGACATCTGTGGGTATTAATAGCCAGGGGTTGGCACATCACTTGCAAAAGTGGATGTGGACAAGGAAGCATCACATCTACTATCAGGCTTATCCGCACCATTCTGTCCTGCAGAGATGGTTTATTATTTAGACAATTACTGTGCCAGCAAATGAAATGCAGTAAGAAGGCCCACATGAGCTGTGTGGGCAGTGTTTGAGAAGGACTCAGTACTATGACATGAAGTGCATGAGTTTTCAAGTTTGAAGTCTTCTTTTTCTATATATAAGTTCCAACTTTTCTCTAACAACATACTTTAAGAAAGCCCTAATCTCAATGAGCCTCAGGCTTCTTATCTATAAAATGGGACAATGATAGCAACTGCCTCCTATAGCTGCTGTCCAATTCAAGTGAAATAACATATGTCAAAGCACATGCATTATATTTGACATGAAAACAAAAAAATGCATTATATTTGACATGAAAATAAGACACTAGCCTAGAGAAAGTTTTAAAATGTAAACTAGAAGAGTTTTCTATAAGAAACGAAAATGATTTGAAATATATGGATGTTTGTCCAAGTTGAGAGAGGTAATAATAATAAAAGGAAGAATTAGAGCTGTCATTTCCCTAGTGTCCATAATGGATCAGGGATTTGACGTTAATTTTCTCAGTTAATCCTTGTCCCATGTGGTTGATACTGCTGTATTCTCGTTGTGTAGATTTCTTAACAGAGTCTTAATGCTGTTAAGAAATGGCCTAATTTCATACTACTAGACATCTGACAAAAAGAGAATTTGAACTCATACCTCTGTGTTTCACAAAATCTCAGCATTTAACTGCTGTGGTTATCCTATGAAAGGCCCTTTCTATCAAAATAGATAGTTAAAAATTTATGAAGGAGGTGGTGAGGAACTACAATTAAGTTGAAGATACAGGTCATGCACTTTAGGAACTTTCCATTTGGTTGGGGACTTGTATTTATACCCTTTACTCTTTCTGTTTCCACACTCTAGCACATGTGTCTCTGGAAGCAATAAGTATTTTAGACATGACGACCTGAAACCATGCCTAGGGCAGAAGAGGCAGAATGTAGTGGTTCTTGTTTTTGCAAGCTCTTAGAGCCTAAGATCCTTTAGCTTTGCAGAAGAAAGATTAGTTAATAGATATAGACCATTTTACTTTATGCATTAATAGTAATAGAAATGCTCTTAAAGATCAACAGTCATACACCTTCGGCCCCAAAACAAAAAATTTTATGATAAGACGGGAAAGTCAACAAGGACAGAAGAATTTATTTCTTCCATTTAGCCAGATGAAAGCATACAATTTCTTCTTAACTGAGAATTTTTTCTTATTTGGCATAGAGAAAATAAGTTTTAACTAGAGAAACTTCTAGTTGCGAGAATTATTTAAAGCAGAAAAAAAAGATATGATATAAAAATGTAGGACATTTTAAAACATATTTTTCTTAAAATGCACAGAACAAAGAAGAAATATGTTTATATAAAAGAGTGCATTAATTTGAGATGTAGATATTCAGCTGTTTTCAAGAGTAGATAGATTCATAACTCTAGAGAAACTCAAGGATATAGCAAATAAGTATGCTATGCGGAGCTTTCTTTACCAATGAGTCAAATTTATAATTATGGAATCTGATTCATATCAGGTGTATATTGTAGGGTCATCTCCTATCCAAGCAGGAGAAATAAATAATTACTGTGGCAGAATCATTCAAAGTCTGGAACAATTCTTTATTTCTATAACATAAGTTTCTATGTTATTTTGTTCCCTATTATTTTTCCAGGTGATGATCTTAGCTGAAATGAAGAAATCAAGTGTTATAAATATCTTTATCCTATGTCTCAAAGTAGTCACTGGCCGTTTTCTATTTTCTACTTAGGTTAATAAACTTCTACATTCACTTCTTACTTCGATAGATACAAATACATTTAGACACAATTAGCAATGTATTTATGTGTATATATCTGTATATATGTATATGTGTGTGCATGTGTGTATGTGTGTGTAGTGTGTATAAAATTAGAAGCAAGGCCATCCCCCAAATGGTCAACATAAAGAGAATTGTGTGTAGACCAAGGGATCTCTGGTGTAGAATAACGTTTGGAACACAAGACTCGAAATGAGAAACAGACCCAGTTATTAATTTATGTATCTACTGATGACTGAAGTAGTTTCACAAGGTGAGTTTGGGGCGTGTATTTGTTAATAAAATTTCAGAACAATTAGTTTTTCAAAGTAACAAATAGTATAGACATTTCCATGAGCCCTGCAGGTGCAGCAGCTCACTTTTTGGCTCCTGGAAGGATCCTCTGGGACATAATGGTTGGTGCAAAGGGAGGAAAGCAAACCTTCTACTTTATTCACATCAACAGATATAATTACTCTCAAACAAGGCTTTTGCAGAATTGAATATGAAACATTTCAATCCCTAGAAACACTATATATAAAGGATATTAGAGGCAGTATGTCTATTATTGTTCATCTGCTAATGTCCCCAAATGTCACCAAGGTAATTACTTGGATGACATTTATGTGATGCAGCTGGACATTGTTACAGTTAATATAAAGCCTGCCTTTGGCAACCACTTTATTTCCACCTACATAAAACTGTGAGTGCATGATCGCTTTTCTTGGGAGAACGCCTACCTCCCCCAAATGACATCTCTGCCCTCAGCTTTTTCTCCCTGTACTGCTCTGAACATTAATATCCAATGCAAAAGAAAAAGAAAAATAATACTATATTATTTATCTTTATGTTAAAATTAAAGTCTGGAACTTTTAGAAATGTTTCTAAAAATAATTCGCAAAATATAATAACATTGATCTTTCCTCTGCTTTTTTTTTTTCTTTTTTAGAAACAGGTTTTTATCATACCCAGGAATCTAGATTCACATAATGAGCATTGTCAAAATCCCATAACGTCATATTCATTCTCAAATATATGATCAGCAAAGCTAGATTTTAAAGTATGTTTATCAGAAGAAGAGTATATTTTCAGAGACACAGATTACAAATTTTACCCCAAACTCACATGCAAATTGGAGCTTCGCCTTCCGACTCAGAATTGTCCCCAGAAGATTGGTGGCCAGGCACTGGTACGTGCCAATATCTTGATCTGTGTGGGGGCTACTGATTGTAAGACTACCCCCTTCCAACCTGTAGTGATAACTCATGGTGAAATCAATGTCTGTGCCATTTTGCTTCCACCTTCAAGAGAAAAACATAAAAATATGCTTATAATATATAGAGTCAATCACTCTCCGTCTTAAACAACATATAGTTCTAATTCCTGCAGCTATGAAAAACAAAACATGATTACATGTGGAGATAATCCTACCAGTTTTATCAAAGGTAACTGTCTTGGTGAGCTGGGTGATATCAGTAACTAGATTATTTGAAAGATGTACTTTTTGTATGCTACATTCACCCAAATGTATACAAAGAGGAAACAGAACTCTCAACGTCAGAAATAAAAATTAGACAGTCAGTCAATAATACTGGCCAACCTATTCCTTTAGCGACTTTTCAAATAACATACACCTTACCTGAACATCCACAATGGATAGAGCAAAATTGAATGTCAAAATGATTTAATGACAGGAATTCAAGAAGCATACATTACAAATGGCAAGAATAATTTTACAATGCCAATTCAAGGCTGATAACAAAATACTAATAACCTGACTACTTTAGAACATGATTGCCTCTGTTAGTATGTTACTTGGAAGACTGATCATGTTGAAAATATTTCAATGGTACTTGGAAATGCCAAATTAAAATTGTACTTTAGCAAAACAAATGCTGTTTGAGAAGTTTTTATTTTAAGAAGCAAAAAGTCTCTTGGCTTAGCTATTAGTCAACAATTTTTTAGTGCATAAATTAACTAGCTGAAGGGTCTTGGAGTTATATTTACTTTCAAAGAATCATAATTAGTTTTAGAAATTTCATTTGGTCATTTTTAAGACAAATGAAAACCTGATAATTATCCCTAACCAGACTCACTTTTCCTACCCTGATACTCCCAACTCCATCAAAATCTCCAAATATTTGGAAGCATGAATCTTACATATTTAAAGAGATGCATTCCTAGGACACAGGCTATGTATAGTCACATAGACCATTTTTTTTTAAACAGACACTTAAAAATATTGAATAATGACAACCAGTTGTACATGTAGAAAAATACCTTTTCTCATTCATTGCTAGTGTCATGGCTGAGGTCTCTAAAATGAAAGGCAGATTAATAAGAGAAAAAGATATAATTTTATCTAAGTTCTCCTTCAAAAAAAAAAAAAAAAAAAGAATTCTAAAAAACAGGAAATCCCTTGTGTTTTTATGCTAGTTTTGATGAAGAGCAGAAGTATAATTGTAAAAAGAGGGTATGATCTAATGGTAATAAACTGGCGGGAAGTTAGCAAGGCATTTGTTCCAATTCTTTCTGGTTTCTCTGTGTCTTTAAGGAAGAAAACGATGTTTCTTTCCTCTGGGTACAGAAAGGATAACTCTGGAATAAAGCTTTTATGACCTGCTTCAGAGAAGAAGAGTGAGGAGAAGGTGAGAATGATCTTCCTGTTTCTGCTATTTTCTCAAATGCCAAGGCGCCATATTTTGAGATGGTGTGACCTGAACCCCATCATAGTCATCTAAGAAAACAAGCGAATGATCTTTTCCCACGAAATACAGCCAATTTCCAAACCATGTTTTTTAGGGTTTATACCATCTTAGCTATGATTCTCCCCTTTACACAAAAATCATATTAAAAATATTTTGGTGGGAGTGTTTTTTTAATGACATTTTACAGAATTAATTCAAAGAGGTTGGGTGCAGGGGCTCATGCCTGTAATCCCAGCACTTTGGATGGCCGAAGTGGGGAGATAGCTGGAAGCCAGGAGTTTGGGACCAGCCTGGGCAACATGGTGAAACCCATTTCTAGTAAAAATACAGAATTAATTCAAATGTCATTGACTTCTTCAGATGCATTTTCAAACATCCCATGGGGATAATCTGGCAAATGCCTACCAATGTAGAAAAGAAATATGAACTTAGGTGATCCTCTAAGCTATTAAAGATGTGATGTGATGGATCAGATATCAAGTCAATCAAAGGTTTTGAACCAACTTTGTTAACTTTTAAATTATTTAGCCATTTCCTGCACACCTGAAAGTTGAAAGACATCAAAGAGTGCATTTCATTTGCTTAGATTTTCTTCCATCTTTTTTTTCTAGAGGCATTTGTAAAGGCTGTTTCTTGTTTTCAATATTAGGGTAAAAAAAAGAAAAAAACAAAATAAAACGCTTCAAAACTTCTCTTTCTTTAGGCCTTTCTCAAGACACCAATATTCTCCTTGCCAGCACTCTAATATAGTTTTTGATAATGTGCTTACAGGGTATGATCTTTAGACGTCCATGTTTGCTATCATTTTCAAAGCAAAGGATATACCATACTTAGTTTGCCAGCTCTTTTTAATTTTGGAATCAATCACTGAAATAACTGCTGTCATCATTACATGCTCCTAATTAAGCTCAGTAATTGTTTTTCAACACAAATTCAAAGTTGTTGGCTTAGCTGCAGCAAATGAATTTTTCACAGTATCCCCATAATCATTCTGATCACTATGGTACAATGATTATTAAACTTCTCATATAGATCAAAGGTTCAACTCCTGGTGAGGGCTTTGTCCTAATTAATATGTGTAAATCAATGGAGAAACAGTATTAATGAATTCAAATAATTGTCATGCACACATTTCTGATAGAATTGCATACTGACGAGTGTTTTCCTATGATGCAACCTAGAGAATATATTTTAAATGATTACTTTTAACATCTGAATTAATATCATATTAGTCCCAGAAAACATAATGGATTTGAACTAAAATCTTGACACTTTTTTGGGAAACATCCTTCACTTTTAAGTAGTTCAGTCCTGCCTCAAGAATAATGGCTGAGCCAGGCTCAGTGGCTCATGCTTGTAATCCCAGCACTTTGAGAAGCCCAGGCAGGAGGATTATCTGAGGTCAGGAGTTCAAGACCAGCCTGGCCAGCATGGTGAAACCCTGTTTCTACTAAAAAAGATACAGAAATTAGTGGGGTGTGGTGGCACATGCCTGTAATCCCAGCTACTCCAGAGGCTGAGGTAGGAGAATTGCTTGAGCCCAGGAGATAGAGGTTGCACTGAACCAAGAACACACCATTGCACTTGCACTCCAGCCTGGCTGACAGAGTGAGACTCAATCTCAAAAAAAAAAAAAAAAAAAAAAGAATAAGGCCTGTAGGCTGTGTTTGTTGGCAGTCCTTCCATAATGCCGTGTGCAAGTGTGAGTGTGCGTGTATGTGTGTGTGCCTGCATGCGTGTGCACTTGTGTGTGTTGTTGTTTTTCAAAACTGGGCTTTGCTTTAGAATTACTTGGTATATTTGTTGAAAGTATGCATTTCTTTTTTTGAGTTTTATTTATTTTTAATTGACAAACAATGATTGCACATATTTATAGGAAAAATATGTTTCCATAAATGCATACATTTTGTAATGATCAAATCAGAGTAATGAGCATATTCATTAACTCAAAAATCTATCATTTGTCTGTGGTGAGAGTATTCAAAACGTTCTCTTCTAGCTATTTTGAAATATACAATAATTATCGTTAACTATAGTCCCTCTACTGTATAAAGGAGACTGGTAGCTTATTCATACTAATGATCACTTTGCACCCTTTGACCCAAGTGTCCCCTTTCTCTTCCTGTCCCTCCTTGACCTTCCCTGACCCAGCCTCTGGTAACCTCCATTCTACACTCTACTTCTATGAGTTGACTCTATGAAATCAACTTTTTTAGATTACGCATACGAGTGAGATCAGATGGTATTTGTCTCTCTCTGCCTGGCTTATTTCTGAGCCCATCCCCAGGCCTCTGACAGAGAACACCAAAATCTGAATTTTAAGTCTCTCTGGGTGATTGATGTACACTGAATATGACTGCATTACCCCTGTGGAAAGAGTCCTAGTCCCAACTTTAACATCCCTTGCTGCATATACTTGAACAAGGTCTCTGATTTCCCCAGAGGTCATTTCCACAAGTAATACAATATGTGCCAGAATGTATATTCTGCTTATCTCATAGGATTGTTAAGAGGATCAAGTGGGGGAAATGAATAAAAAGAACAGAAGGGCAGAGTGACTACTATTATCATTTTTCCTTAGAGGCCTAGAGCTTCTCCAGACTTAAGGTTGGGTTCATGACTAGGGTAGAGTAGACTCATTTACAGAAAGGGAGTCTCATCTGGTGACCAGGTAGAGAGAAGATGTGTCAGAAATCCTTTTTCTGATAGACAGTATATCCTATATAGAAATAATTAATGTGTATGTTATTTCATTTTTCTAACTGAAATATATATGCTGAGATAGAACTAAGTTTATTGCTACATGATTTTCCTAGACTTTCCAGGTATAAGCAACGCTTCCAAAGCATCATCTTTGGGTAGCCCATTTTTCTTCCCTTTGCAGGGCTTCCTGACTGGACTTCATATTCTCATGTGTTATGTGGTCTTTGAAAGAACAAAGGGCAATCCTTTTTCATGGGAAAGCCTAAGCTATTTCAAAAGGATTGCTTTTAATGTTGCCCATTTTCCCTGTGAGATTTCATTTGCTGTATGGAATTTACTAAAAGAAATAAAATGTGTCTTAAAATCAAACCCTGCCTCATTTTACGAATAAGGAAGATAATACTAGGAGAGAAAACTGATTATTCCAAAGTCACAAATGGATTAATAGAGCTGTGGCTAGAAATAATAACTCTTAGTTCTAAGTCAAGGGTTCTTTTATATTGCTTTATACTGTACTCAAAAAACCTCAAGTAATGTTGGAATCTATGAATTATAAAGACTTTCCCTCTAAGACACACACATACACACACATAAACAATCTCAGGTGAAAAAAATTGTGAGGTTTATTTTAAAAAATAAAATTTAAGGTAGAAAGGGTCATATTAAAACTGAAATTTTACATTTTGTTGCAATGCACACTATCTGAAACACCTCTGTCCTTTGCTTTATTATCAATAATATTGGATCTGCATCTGACATTTAAGCAATAAAAAATTATTTCTCACTCTCTTTCCATAGTTTCTTGCCTATGAGTAAGTGGAAAAACAGGCATTGGGGCCTGCTGGAGGGTGAAGGATGGGAGAAGAGAGAGGATCGGGGAAAATAACTAATAGATACCAGGCTTAATATCTGGGTGATGAAATAATCTGTACAGCAAAGTTCCATGTCACAGGTTTATCTATATAACAAACCTACATATGTACCCTGAACTTAAAAGTTAAAAAAAAGAAAAAAAAAAGAAATACACTGAACCAGGTTATGATGGTTGGAATTAAGTACCCAAATTACTTGTCTTTAGCTTTATCTTATATTCAGAAAACTTTAGTCTATCTTATATTCAGAAAGCTTTCAAAAATTTATAGGAATTCTTATATTCTTCCTTTACTAACCACTAGGATCAAACTAATTAGCTCTCAAAAATAAAATTACTACTTTAAGTATTAGGTGATCTCAATAAATGTATTAATCAAATTTTCATATATTTAACCATATATTAAACTAATAAGACAGCTCATCATTTAAGAAAAACTAACAAATCAAACTCTGAAGTGAGTGACCCAAATTTGTAAAGTGAAGGATCTTCCTCTAACTGCTAAGTTGCATTGGTTTAGGTATGATAAAGACAAGGAAGCTTTAGCATGTGGAATGAGAAGACGTGGTTTTTCAGCTCTTTTGCTATAAAAAGAAGATGCTCAAGTTGGCTCAAAAAAATACAAGATAAGGTAGAATTGCCCTTAGCTTTGAAGTCATTTAGCTAATTAAGTGCATTTAAGTCACTTAACTAATTAATCTGGACAATTTTAGGATCTAAATAATTTTGCACATCAACAGTGTATTTATACTGCAAAATAAAATTAGGCTAAACCAGCTTATTTTGCCAAAATAGACTGAAATTGTTACTTCGTGTGTGTGTGTGTCATTTCAACTTCACATCTAAAAATTAAGACTTAAAAAATGCTTCTAAAACCCAAAGCTACAAAAGTTTAATATTTATTTTCTTTGCCTGCCTTAACACTACATATGCAGTTTTTACCAACTCAATATCCTTATTATTTACCTATGTATATTTATGCATGTCTATATTTTCAAATTTGTAAATTCTACCCACAGTATGAATCAAACTCTGCCTTTGCTGCAACTTTGTAAATAAGAACAAAAACATTACTGATCCTTTCTCCCTATAATTCCACAAATAATATGTGAGAAACAAATAGTTCTTTTTTCTTCTTATTTGCCCAGAATAAAAAATTCTCTTTCTGCCTTAGAGGGTACGTAGGTGTCTTCAACATATTTTTCTAAAATCAGTATTTTTGGGTGACATGACCCACCAGTGAAGTCACATAATTTTATCTGAAATAAATCTAGATATCCATCTTGATTCATTCGTTATAGAAGACATTTTCATAATCATTATATATGTAGCAACAGACGCTGCGGTCCCACATTGAGGTAGGGGTGGGAGTGCAAAATGGGCCTGCATTTTAGTCTTTCCAATTGGGGAAAAAAATCTTTCTTTCATTTCTCTATTTTTTTTCTTTTCTTTTATCTTTCTTTCTTTTCTTCCCAGCTTCCTGTGTTACGTGCTTCCTGTCTTTCTCTCCTCTCTCTCCCCTTCCTCTCTTCTCTCTCTCTCAATTCTTACCATAATATGGCAATGTATGGCACCAATCTCAAGAATAAATGTTCTAAGCAGACCTAATCAGTAGGATGGAAACATAATTATTGTTATCTGGAGCTAGAGGGTAGGGGGATAATTATTGCCTGTAAAGTGTCATGAGGGAACACCTTGGGATACTAGAAATACATATATCTTTATCTGAGGTATTGTCACATAACTGTACTCCCATAGAGAAATTCCTTGAGCTGGACACTATAAATTAAAACATTTTAAAACACACTTTATTTTGTGAATGTTTTGGTTCAGTGACAAAGAACAAAATACTGTGGTGCCCAGAGGTAGGATTTTACCTATAATGAGGTGAAGGGTGACCATTAGCAGCACAATTCAGGATGATCTCAGATTTTGATAAATCCAAAGGAAAAATGACATCATGCGGCTCTTGAGTAAAAATAGGACGGCTCAAAAGACCATCACCTGGGGAAAAAAAAAGAATAAATCACATGAAAAAACATGGCCCTGTTTTGAATGCAAGTCTATATGAAATATCAAGTCAATACACACATTTAAAATCATTTTATTTTAAAACAATATCAAACTCACAGAAAAAAATTATAAAATTGAAAAAATAATTTTTTCTCTTGTAAACCAATCCCCTATTACCCAAATAAATTAGTTTATATTTCCAACAAAGGGCATAGCCCCTCAAAACCCAACAATATCAAGAAGTTAACATTGATTCAGCACTAAGCATCTAAACTTCAAGTCCCATTTCCCATTTTTTCTAATAAAATACATTTTTGTAGCTTTGTTTTTGTTGCAGACATTGTCTCACTCTGTCACCCCAGCTAGAGTGCAGTAGTGTGATCATAGCTCACTGCAGCCTCTAACTCCTGGGCTCAAGTGATCCTCCCATCTCAGCCTCAGGGGATTTAAGCAATCTTCTGTGTCTTTGTTATCAAAATAGATGCAACGTCTAGATCAGATGGTTGTTTTGTGATTTAATAATATGCTGTTTATAAAATATGTCACATTGTGCCTCATAACGAGTAAATATATAGTCATCAAATTATGACATTCATCATCACCATTATTACAGAGAAGGAAACTGAAACCCAGGAAGTTGAGTCATCTTTTCCAAATTTACCAACTGTCTTATGATACAGCAAGAAATTAAACTTCAGTTTCTTGATTCCCTCTCCATTGTTTTCACCATCCACTCAGATCTGCTACCATCTCCTTAGTCTTCTAAAATATTTGCAATTGGGTAAAATTAGTTATTTTATTAACCTCATCTTATGATTATAATTTTGGTACTTTTTATCACTGACCTAGAAGTATAGACAGCTAGAGATTATAATTCTAGCCTTGTCAGTTACTGGCTCCCCAATGCTGGACAAGTTACTGTACCACCCTTGTTCTCTGATTTCTCAGTTGTTAAAGGAGGATGCTATGTCTTATATCTTAGTGTTGCTGTAAATGATGATTGAGAAAGAGGATTGAAGATGATTTACTGACTTTTCTAACATCAATGCCTAATGAAATGTGTAAGACATTATAAATACAAATAACAAGCAAACATAAATTAATGATGTCTGAAAAAGAAAAGGAACATATTCTAATACTATTGATTCAAAATCACTTAAAGAAAAAAAACCTTTGGAGTAAAAACAGTCTGATCAGGCTCAGAGAGGTGAAGGAGTTCTTGATTTCCTAATGTTGTCCTCACACCCTATAGGATTTATTGGTGAAATAACAGCATTGTGAGAAATCTCCTTATAGCTTCCAAATGTGGAGATAAGCAGATTTGTATGTACACAGATGGAAGAGTCATCTTTTTCTTTTACCCCTTCCTGGCTGAAGAGCAATGAAAAGGACTTCTGATCAAAAAAAAAAAAAAAAAAAAAAAAAAAGGTAGTGGGGAAACATGGATAGTAAAGCTGACTCTATTTAACAGACTAGTAACGTCATGCCTATGCACTCAGAGGTGAAACCTCTGAAGTCCACTAGAAAAGCAATATATCTCCCAATGAAATATAGCCTGATGCCTCTTCCAACAATAATCTTGTTGCAATTCATTAAAAAAGAAATCTCAGAATAGAGAGAAGGACCCAGGTACCCTAAAAAGGCTGAACTTTCCTTGGCCCCATCATTCTCTCAGGCTACAAAATGTGAGTACTCATGATATATGCCATCTCCAAACTGGAGCTAATAAGAAAAAAAACTGTTCCCAAATATAATAAAAAGAGAGTTCAAAAAATATATTTCCCCATTATGTAAAAAGTGAATTTTCTGTACACGGTTTCTCAAGCATGAATAGTAAGAAAAGAAATGGAATAGTAACTATGCAAATATACTGCAGCAATAAAATAGTAAAACATGGCATGACCAAGACAGACAAAATACCCAATCTAGAAGAAAATATAACTCCACAAAACCTAGGGAATTTCTCAAAACTGTTTTATGCTATAGATAAGAACATGAGTTTTTTAAAATAGCATAACAATGGCAATATGAAAAAAATGCATGGACAGTAGAACCAGATAAATTTGGAGACTGTGAACCTAAGGATACAAATTGTAACCCAGGCGGCATCAATAAATAACAAATAAATCAATTAGAATAGGCAAACAACAAAACAGAAACCCACTGAAAGTAACATTACTGCTCTAATATTTTGAGATGATTGTAATTATCTTACATAATTTGAAAAAAGCACAGATAATGAAACAATGAGGAGAAGGTAATGGATAAGAAACATAGATAAAGATGATTCAGCATAAAAATCCTTGATGTCACTGAGTTAGAGAATCAAACACATGTATCAGTAAATATCGTTAAGAAAAGTTACTATAAATGGAAAGAACATATTCCAGAAATAATTGAAAGAGTGAGTACTCAACACCAAAGCATTTGCTGACTAAGTGACTAATATTCAAAGAACATCAGGAGGAAGCTTCTTCAAGAAGACTGGGCAGAAATAGCAAATTAAGTAAAAGAGTGAAAGGATGGGAACTGTAATCCCTGCACTTTGAGAGACCAAGACAGAAGAATCCCTTGAGGCCAAGAGTTTGAGAACAGCCTGGGTACTATAGGAAGACCCTGTCTCTACCAAAAACAAAAAGAAACAAAAATTAGCTGGGCATGGTGGTGGGTGCTTGTAGTAGTAGCTACTTGGGAGACAAGGTGGGAAAATCCCTTAAGCCCAGGAGTTTGAGGTTGCAGTAAACTATGATTACACTGCTGTACTCTGCCCTGGGTGACAGAGTAAGACCCCATCACACACAAATACGCACACAGAGTGAAAGAAAAAACTAAAAATAAGCTGGGATTTTAAACAGTATCATTTTATACCAGAAGACAATGAAGAAAAGTCTATGAATATTCCAAATGAAAGGGTGACGTATTTTCACCAATGTATCTTTAAAGTATAATGGCATCCAACAGACACATTTGAACAATTAAAAAAACTAATATAAAAAAGCTAAAATGAAAAATAACATAGATGATTATTCTTAAAGAGATCACTTAACAATGAAATACATTCATTTAAATATTAATCAATATACAGATCTTGAAGGGGGAATAATGGGGAACGCAGGATACATTCAAACACAAAACTTACACTTAAGAACTCATTAGTTTTAGCTATAGAACAGAATATAAATGCCATAAGCTTGATAATATAAACAACAAAATAGAAAAATGAGGAGTGAGCGAGGGAATATAATTAGAAATGTATGACTGCAAATATCTTTCATAGCAAAACGTCTATAGATACATACATGTGTACATATATATGTACTATGGTATTTACAAAGGTACTCTGACCTCGTAGCATCATTCATTGTATCTTTTAACCTTACAGAAATTATTTAGAAAAAAATTATTTGTTGTCTCAAATCATTCATTAGAAGTTCATACTATTCATCATTTTTACTTTGTTTTATGTTAAATAAACATCTTATTTTTTTTTAAATGAAGAAAAGAGATGGGAAATAAATATGCTGAGATGGTAACTTAATTATTGATGGTGGGAATATTAATGACTTTTGTGCAGATCTCCATAAGATCTCTTTAAAATTTCCAACCCTGACCTCCTGCAAAAATAAGAAAACCTCGTTGAAATAATGCATATTAAGCCACATGCATTATGCCAGGCACAAAGCAAGCATACCACAAATGCTAATTCAGTTGCTTTCCTTTACTTTCTCCCAGAGAAAAGTCTGTTTTAAACTTCATGTAGTCCAAATCAGGAGTATAACTTGGCTTAATAATATCCAATATTTGTGAGAATGATTAGTGGTTTTCAAAAAACATATACATACACCAGTTGCCAAATTAAATCCCTATGATGCCTTTTGTGAGATGCACATTTCTGTTCCCATTTGATGGATGAGAACTTTAACCCTAATGACATTTTCTAACAAACTTCAGTTTATTTTGAAAGACACAGAAGTTTGGTCTTGTTGAATTATCATCAGTCATTTGATATCATTCATGTTTTTCATTTAAATTTGTTTGTTACCAAATTTTTAAAAGCTTGAATTCACAACACTTGATAAGTCAAATATCTAGTTTTCAACTAACTGTTTAATGTCCTTTGGTAAATTCTTAGATTTTCCCTGTACTGTAATGAAATGATTAAATAACAGCAAGTCTTTATTGTTTTGTCTGTACTATCAGAAAGCAAGGACAACATTGGTTTTCTATAAACGAACAGCTGAAAACGTGACAATATGACATCAAAAACAAGAAATCAAAATGCTTTTTCAAATACTTTTGTTTTAAGAATGGATTAGAGGATAAGAATGGTGTTGGTATTTTTCAGCCACTGTAACAATTAGTGAGTAATTGTATTGAAGACACATACTACTATACAATCACCAATGTTTATAATGTTAAACTCTACAAAATGTTTTATTTAAGAGGCTGGGCGTGGTGGCTCACACCTGTAATACCCAGCACTTTGGGAGGCCAAGATGAACAGATTGCTTGAGTCAATTTGGCAGTAAGGCAAGAACATTGCAATAGGTGGACACTGAAAAATAAATGCTTCTAAGTGATAATTAAATGAAAATCATACAGTACTATTGAAAATGCATATAGGGGTTCTGCCCTACCTTTCTTCCTCCATTATCTTCTATGGAATTAAAAACTTAACTTGATGATATGACTGCAATATTAGATCTAACCTACCAGTATCTAAAGTTCATTATCATTCCCTAAGTATTGAGAAGTTTTGATTGTAATGCAGTCACATTCTGGCGTTTCTGAATGGCCCAGGAACCATTTCATGGAGAAGTAGCTCTTAACCTATGGAGAGCCTCAAAGGCATGTTTAATCTACTTTAGACCATTTCTTGAGCCATGGATAACTGGACGGGAAGTTCATATGTTCTTCTTGGGCTCTTGCATTTCTCTCTTCCGATAATTTAGATTTTTGTGGTTTTTTTTTTTTTTTTTT